TGTCTTTCCACAGAGGGAACTGTTTCCACCAGAGCCTAATAACAGACCTGCACTTGTCTTTCAGAAGGACTCTTCATTGCTTTGCATCAAGTAATTCGCAAGTCCTAAATCCCCAGTGGATGCCATTGTGTGGTAGTGCTGATGTTTGCCAGAGACTCCAATCTTCGCGCACCTGCGTAGCAGACACCTTTGAAATCATTTGTGACTTAGGATGATACAGTTCCAAAGAGACTGTTTGGGCTCAGATTATAAGTCTCTAAAGTTTTTCTGTTTTCCCAACTCCATTGAAATTCGTATTTCTTTCTAGGGACTCAATATAGGGCTTAATAAAATGCTCAAGTGCAGTATACACACTCACCAACACACAAGTAGCCCTCTTCTTATCTAGAGGGTCTGCAAAGACAGTAATTTGTTTCATGTTATGTTTAGAATATCTACTGTGGTCCCAGGTCAGCTTGTTCTCCCAGATTTTATGGACTGGCCAAGGCCCTATGTTGTAGCTGGATAGATTAGTGATTTTGGATTAATCTTGTGTGTCACCACAGTTCTTAGTTCCTAGGTGTCATACTCCTCTGAGAGATAAATTATCATAGTATTTTCCACATAATGAACTAGCTTGCTCTTTATAGGAATCTAATCTGTATCTTATCTAACCGAGGTGTATGTCTACACTGGAGTGATTAACTATCTCAAACATGTGTTGGAGGCTTTTCCAGATGAAAGAACATTGTTTGAATTTCTTCTAAAATTAGAATAACAACACAAGTCCTTGGCCAATTCCATGGTAGCACAGCAGCCACCTTCAGCTCACTGTACTTCGTGAACAGCTGTCGCCATCCCTGGTACAGAGAAATCTCCCAGTAGAACTATTTAGTACTCAGTCAGCGTGGATAATCTCCATGAACTATCTTTTTTCTTAGAGACCAGACAGAACTTTTATATAATTAGCCAATGAGGATTAATGTCCCTATTTCTACCACCTTTAAATCAAAACAGAAATTTATTGTTGTCCTCCAAGGGTTTGGCATCGCCTAATATCCACTACAGAGGAGAGTTTGCACAATTCTAAAGGTTCTCATTTGCGTGTCAGATTAGAAAAGGTGGGGGCAGACTTGACTAACACCCGGTTAGAAATCGGCAAACATTGACAAAGCCCTCCATCGCCACAACATTTCAAATCTGACAAAACGTTCCTTTCGACAGGATGTTCTTACTTTCACATTTCCTAGTTTGTAAGTTAATAGAACCCTGATACCTACTACCAGAGCATCACATTACCCTCAAAGTTTTGTCTTTGGCCCTCTAATGTTGCCCTCTCTGTGTCTTACTGACATCACCATGTACTGTGTCCCAGTTTCTGTTAATCCCAGAAAGCCACTTGCACCACCCTAAAGCCATTCAACTTAAACCAATCATCCATCTTCAGAGTCCCTTGCTGAAATTTTGCAAGCAGATTGCAACTCCCTTTTATTCTGTTGCCTTAACCAGTGGAGTGTCCCTGCACCTTACTCACTCACTGTGTTTTCCCTATACCCTTTGACACATTCCGAGCAGGTGTAAACAGAGCAAATTTACCACGGTCTTCTCAGCAAGGCAAGCGCAGTCGCCCAAACTACCAGGAGTTTTCCACCTCCTAGCCAGTAAAACTTCATCATCAAATTTTGTATAGCACAGCACCTTCACCAATTTATTTCTTTTTCACCATACTTTCATTAGCCACCAAAATAATTCCATGTAGCTAGGCCATCTTTGGTCACTTCTTTTCTTTTGAAAAGCACAGACTTTTTTTCCATCATTGAGCCCCAGGAACAGGAGCTTGCTGATAAGTTTGCCATGGCTGTCTCTATGGCATTCTGTTCTCCTACGAGAAAGATTACGTAAGGGGACCAAGCATGGTGAACTGTCCTTATCCCTGAATTTATCGTAGTTTGCTTTAGAGGCATTTTTCATTGAGTGATTGTAAGGTTTATCTATACGTGATCTAAAGCACCTGCAGTTAGAACATTTCTACTATTTATGCAGGGATCTTTCATTTACTACCAAGTGAAAGAACTAGACAAGTACCTTTGTTGGTGTAAACTTGTTAGATTTCTCCCTTAACCATGGTGTTTCATTATTTGGAATGAGAAACGTATACTGAAGTCCACAGGAGTCAGGCCGTTTAATTCCCTCTGTCAGACTCAGTGGATTCCCCACTATTAAACTATCACGCCCTTGATCATGCAGTCTGAGTATCCAGGCTAACAAAAACTCATCAGGTTTCTAGTGTTTATTTGTTGGCAAGATGTCCCAATTATTTAACAGTACCCCCCTGTTTCTGTAGTCCCCTGGCCTTATCCCTCTTGGATAATGAGTATGTTGACTTCTAGTTGACCAGGTAAATGTAATATCTGGAGGATCCCAGTGAAATATCTCGTGACTTGTCTTCTATTTTGTGTATTGACTCATCTCTCCTAGGTCAGTCTATTTCTTTGTGTTCTCCTGATAGAATTTCCGTTTTGTTAATGCCATTAATAACAAACAAGCAATGGTTCTAGCCATTTTCCCTATTTGCCTTTGTTTACTAACTCATTTTGCTAAATCCTAGAGGTTGGAAGCTATATCATCTAAACTCCATTGACAAGATTTGTCCTCCATAATTTGCCCCAAAAAACTTCCACTACATCAAACCAAGGATTAGTTTACAGTTGTCACAGCACCAAAGTCTCAAAAGATCCTCCCTTCCCATCCTTCTGGGCATGAGCCATTTAATAAGACCACTGTAGTAGACTTCAGATGTAGAATGATAATCAAGGCACAAGATGCAATAGACTTATCCAGTGTTTATTGACCCAGATTTATTACTTAGGTTCACTTAGCCTTAAGCAAGAATGCCCAACAGGGGAAAGAGCAACAGATGACAGAGGCTATGGGTACCCAGACACAGCTTCCAAACTCAGTCTCTGGATGCAAACTTACGTAAGTACAGAGCGCTCAGCACAGGGAAGGTGCAGGCTCGACGATCTCTCTGCTAAAGTAACTTGCTTGTCACCTAGCACCTAGAGGCCTGTTTGCCTTAAGTCCATTTTTCAGTGCAGCTGCATTCCATAAAATACAGGCTACACAATCAACAACCTTTACATACTTGACGTACGACATACTTAGGAATGTTTCGGGGCAGCAGTCAGTTCTTACTGACCCAGCAAGAATCTAATTCCTCCCAAGTGGATGCATATCTTGAGTTGACGCTGCAGCTCTGTCTAAATGTCAGTTCCTCAGGGAGCCTCAGACTGGAGGAGAGGACTGCAGCTCAGTTTGTAACTCTTTATCTCCAAGGTAATAAGATAGCTGGGATTTTACAGAGAAGAATTCTGATAAAGTCGTGTATTCCATGATAAAGATAGTACAATTATAAAGATAGCAAAAGAGTGTAAAAATTGTAAGACAGTTGTTTTTTGCAAATACTCCAAATAAAACATTTTATACCATGTACCTTAAGGAATAAATGGATTTACATTTACAGGTAATAAGAAGTATTTATGGGATTACTTTAAAAAGACCAATAGTAAATTATAGAAAAATGGTTTTACTCAAAAAGAAAAATGTTAAGGAAACAGATCTAGTTTATAGTGTTTGCAAAATGAGCCACAAAGGCTGTAAAATTGCTAAAGGTCACCTGCAAGTATGGATACTTTTTAAACAGAATAAATTTAATCATGAGGGATAATTTTAAAAGAAATTTTGTTATTGAGGATCAATTGGAATTAATCTTGAGAACATACAAATAAGTTGACTTTTTCCTATAATGTTTATATGATAAATGCATTTAAGTGATAAAAAATATTTATCTTATGCCTAAATTCTTGGATATTTTTAGTCTATTTGTTGAAACTGTTGACTCAACAAGGGCTAAAGCATTTTAAAAATACTAGAACAATGGGTATATTTTTATTCTTCAACAGCTTAAACATAATTCTCATTTCATATAATTATTTTTCCTAAATGAATATTTTTTAAAAACACAGATTGTTCAAGGAATATAATTTTTTTGCTAAAAGAGGAGTTGAATCATGTATGTCTATACAAGGATTCTAAAACAAATTGGAATATACATATTTTTAAGTGATCATGTCCCTGAATTGGAAGTAAATTAGTGGTATAGAATTCGCTCATGCATGTCTTCACCCATCTGTATAAACTAACCCAGGTTCTCGCCTCTAATCCAGGCTCCTTGCCTTCTACTCAGTCAGCTCCTGCTAAAACTGATAGGAACAGACACGCGATCACAGGACTGATCTCTGAAATTGCTTTTTATTACACTCAAATATTTCTAAATGTATAAATTATTGAATATCGTGCTACATGCAATATTCTGATAAAAATAGTATGTGGAGTTATAAATATAAGCTGTGATTAATTTTGATGCTCCTTTCTTTAATTCACGCCAGCTTCCATTTTTCTTCCTAAAATCCACCAATTTTTTTAGAACTTTTCACTTTTTCCTGACTTTTATCACTAAACAGCACATTTCTTCGCAGGAGTATATTCTACGAAGAGGCAGAATGTTATTTTCATCAATCTGCCCAGAGTTACTGTGTATGGCAGAGAACAACACAGCCTTATTAACTTACAGGTCCACAGCGGTGGGCTGGGCTCACTGATGAACCAAATGACTAGCCCTACAGGCCAGCCTCGGTTACAGCTATTTCTCAGTAAAATTCTCAATTACTACCTGGAATTTTGGAAGTTGCTAGAAAATAGTTAATTTGCAAAAGCTACATGCTCAGATAGAAATGGAGCATAATGTTTCTAAATAAGCTAGTTATGGGTAATGCTACCAAACTCTCACTGGACCCACATCCAAGAAAACACAATAGGAAGCTGGGCTCCTGCACGTGTAGCTCACGGACTGCCCTGACCGCGGGCCCTCTGGTGCAATGGCAGAGGCATGGCTAATCTGTATGATTTGGGCTGGTTTCTGTAGCTTTGAAGAAACAGTTTGAAAATTATCTGGCAGCTATTTATTTCTTCATTATTTTTCTCAAGGCACTTATAACCTCTTTGTTCCTCAGACAGTAAATAAAAGGATTAAGTAGAGGAATTATTATCGTGTAAAATAAAGAAAACATTTTGTCATGGTCTTCAGCTGGGCCAGACCCAGGACGCACGTACGTGAGGAAGAGAGTGCCGTAGAACAAGGAGACAGAGAGCAGGTGGGCGCTGCACGTGGAGAAGGCTTTGCTCCTGCCCTTTGCAGACTTCTGTTTCAGGATGTCAAACAGGACACAGGAGTAAGAGACCATGATGGTCATAAAAGTGAAGACTTGTATAAAGGCTGAAAAGATTAAAACCAGAAGAGTATTAACTGTGGGATCAGTGCAAGAAATTCTGAACAGTTGTAAAATTTCACAGTAGAAATAATGTATTACATTGGACTTGCAGAAGGTTAATCTAAATAACAAACCCACATGAATTGCTGAATGTAGAAAACCAATGACGTAAGACACACTTATAAGCCAAGTGCAGAGTCTGCTGGACATCACCGCTGGATAAAGCAAGGGGTTGCATATGGCCACGGAGCGGTCATAGGCCATCACCACCAGGAGGAAACATTCTGTGGTGGCACTGGAACCAAAAAAGTAAAATTGGGCCCAGCAGTCAAGGAGAGGTATCACATGATTCTTAGATAAAAAATGTATAAGCATCCTGGGGGTCACTGAGGATGAAGAACAAGCATCTGCAAAGGCCAAGCTGCCGAGGAGTAAGTACATGGGGCTGTGCAGACGGGCGTCCTTCCAGATGAGAGCAGCCAGTCCGAGGTTGCCCACCATGGTGGTGAGGTAGGTGAGCAGGAACACCAGGAACAGAGGGACCTGCAGCCCTGGACGCTCTGTCAGTCCTGTGAGAACAAACTCGGTCACCAGCGTCTTGTTTTCTTCTGACATTTCCAACCTGGCCAATCACTAAAATAAAAGAATAAGTGAGGAAACATTCACAAAATAATCACAAAAACGGTGAATTTTTTATGTGACTAACATATTCATAGGAGGCACTTCTCATTCAATTAGTAGTCCTTAATTTTTACCTTTATTTGTCTGTTTTTTACACATAAAATTATCCATAATAAATGCTTTAAAATAATATTCTCCTAAAGTGACAAGAAAATTTAATGTAAATCCCTTTCAACCTCACAGGGGTTAGAGGCAGTGCTCAGAACTGTGTACACTCATCTTAAAATTCATATAAAAGAAAATAATTCCCACTTTCCCCAAGAAAAAAATAAATAGTAAAAGTAGTCAGAGTACCTTAGCAGCTATTGAACTATAATACAGAGATATAATAATCAAAACATTAAGATAATGGCATAAGAAAAGACAACAGGGCCAGTACAATAGAACAGATAGCTCAGAAATCAATTCCAGTATATACAGAATGTGGCACGAGACAAATATGACATTTCAATTCAGTAGGAAAAGGATGATTGATTTAATGGATTGTTCTGACACTGTTGGCTGTCTGTCTGGAAGTAAGTAAGATTAAGCTCCTACCCTGCACCGTAGATATTTTCTGAGAAATTTAGGAGGCAATAATGTAACATAGAGATTAGAGAAATCCTTATCCAGGAGAAGAAAGCCAGTCTAAAATCATAGCTACCGGGGCCAGCCCTGCGGCCAGGCGGTTTAAGTTTGTGCACTCCGCTTTGGCGGCCCAGGGTTTCCCCGGTTTGGGTCCTGGGCCCCGACCTAGCACCGCTCCTCAGGCCATACTGAGGCAACATCCCACATAGCACAGCCAGAAGGACCTACAACTAGAATATACAGCTATGTACTGGGGGGCTTTGGGGAGAAGAAGAAAAACATAGTTAACATATAATTTTAATGCATAGCAAAAGAATGTCTAAGAGAGTCAAAGGGCATATAATAGGTTGGGAAATATATTTTGCCATGTATATGAAAGATATAGATTTATATCTGTAATACAAAAATAACTGTTGAAAATAGATAAGGAAAAGGCTAACAACCGGAACGAAGAATGAGTGAAGGAGACGATTAGCACGCGTCAGTGAACAAAGCAAAATGGACAATAAATAAAATGAAAAGATGCCTAAATTTCTGTATGTTATAGATACACACGTGCACGTGCATGGACACACACACACAGAGATACCTCCTTTCTCCACTATCAGACTAGCAGAAATTAAAATGAACAAAAATACTCTGAATGAGGAAAGAACAGTGGTACCTTTGGAAATATGAACTGCAACAGCCTTTTTGAAATGCGATTTTATATGATCCCATTTAGTTTTTTTAATTATATACACCCTTTCATCTACCATTGTCTTTCAGCTATACCCTAGAAATAAAAGTGCCACTGCACAAGGATAAATATACACAGACTGCTGAGTACATTATTGTTCAAGGTAGTGAAGGCCAGATGCATCAACAGTGAAATGATGAGTGAATCTCAGAACATTCCTATAATGGAACATAATGCAGCCCTTAAAAAGAGCGATTCTACCTGATTTTGATTTTGGAATTTCCACATTGTATAGTTATCTGAGAAGAGTAAGACACAAAGAAGTATGAAAAATATGATCTCATTATTATAAAACAAGCAATGCACTTGAAATCCCTCTTTTACATGGAGAAACAAGTGGATAATAGACACTGAGTTTATAGCACTGATTTTCCTGGGAAGGGAGCAGAGGTAGGAATGAGGGAAGTGGAGGAGAGGGGAATCAAAATCAGAGTTCCATGAGAAAAACAGCATGTATGTTATGACTCCTTTCACCTAAAATTGTGTAAGTGACTCATGTGTGTGTATGCATCTGTATACACATTTAAAAGAGGTGTGAGAGAATGGTCTCCAACATGTTAGTAATGGAGACAGGAAAAAAGAACTCTGAAATCCTATTATTGCCTTTTTAAGGAGATGTTTTGGCACTGAAAATTCCAATATAAAATTAGGACGTAATCCTCTTTAAATTTTTGTGGATAAATATCAGTTAAATTCACAAACAGCCTTCAGAGAAATGAGCATTTTCTTTTAGGTATTAGCAATGGAAGCCAACTTTTGACCATTGAGAGTAGACGTGATTTTTTTTCAATATTCCAAGGTTTCCTGTAATTGTATAAGGTAAGGATTCAAATAGAGTAAGAGAGTTTTTTAGAGGCTTTTTTTCTGGAATTTCAGTAATTTTGTTGTTAAATTTATTCCTGTATACTTATTGTTTTGTCACTGTTGTGAATTTAATATTTGATGTTTGCATGAAGTAATGACATTGATTTTTCTTCATCATATAAATAGTCTCTGAAAGAACTCCAAAAAGGATTTTTCTGGTGAATATGGATTCTTTTAGATTATCTTGAAAATAAAAATAAATCCATTTAGGTAAACAGATTGTTATGGTATTTCCATGCATGAAAAATATTTTCATATTTTTATAGTCATACCTCTTGATAGTTACAGAACACAAAAAATTTTTACTATGAGAATATATTAGAAAAGCTGGGTTTGTCTAATTTATAAATATGAATAGAGCTCTTTTCCTAAAAATCAATCATCAGGAGAATAAAAGATCATGAGATATTATCCTATCTTCAATAAAAATAAAGGAAGAATGAGTTTTAGACTTTTTACTTTTAAATATATACCCACAGGGAGCCTAGTATGTACAACACAGGCAAAAACATTAGTTGAAAATTAGAACCTTAAGGGATTTTTACCCTCCATAAACTGGCCCAACTTTCTTTATAACCTTAAATAAACCAAATTATTGCTATTCTTAGTTTTAATTCCTGTAATGTATAATTTAGCCAAGAATCAGTAAGCTTTGTGAGTTTTTTCTCATGAGTTATATGACAGATAACCCAAGGAGTCTTTTGAAGTTGCTCTCCGTGACTTTAGCCCATATTCTCATGATTCCATAAAATTTAAGATTTTTTTATCGTACTCAGCCACAAACCATAAGCCAGAATTTCCCATTCTAAAAAATTACAAATAAGATAGATTTTAGTTGCACAGCTTTTAGCTATGCACAGCTGCACAGCTCAATTAAGAAAACTTCACATTATAAAATAAACTCTGAATTTTTCTTATTGTTTAATTTTTAATTTTTCATTCTTCCATTAATGAAGTTTTATTATTTAAAAACTTCCCAATAAATGTATCTACACAGTAAAAATTCTAACTGAATATACATGTTCAGACAAATACGTACTTCTGTTTGTCCAGATTTCTGTTGCTGATTTCAAAAAGAAAAAAGCCTATCTATAATTTTAATTTCTTACCTAGAAGTTTTGATGTTATACAGACAAATTACAATGCTATAATAATGAACTTTATCAAAACCTCTGCACTCTTACCCAGTTCCTGTAGAACATGGGGAACTGGGAATGTGTTGGTTTTCTCGAAGTAACACAGAAAGTACAGAAAGGAAGCAGTATGATGTATGCATTGATTTTCCTTGGAAACTACAAACTGGAAGGAGATGGCATTTCTTCCTTCTATCTGCAGACCCATTCTTTACAAACTCTGAAATTCCCTTAATGCTTCCAAAAGATTCCCAGTGGGGTGAAATCAAAGTTGTTCTACTGAGCATTGTGAGCTAATTGTCAAATCATCCATACACAGCTCGTTATAACAACTAAAACGACATGCTGTGTCCTCAAGGTTCGCTGTAGGGGCATGTTAATAAAATGTCACTGAATGGAGTTTAGAATAAGCTTGTTTTTCTTCTTATTATTTCTTTTAATGATGCCACTACCCAACTACCTACTTGACTTGTCCATTTGGAAATCCCAAGGGTACCTTAGAATTAACATGTGTAAACATGAAATTAAGACCTTCCTCTACGCCCCCCCAAACCTGGTATCTTCCCGTGTTCCCTGTCTCAGGGAATAGGGTCACCAGACAAGCATTTATGCAAATCATAAACCGGGAACAGCTCCGTGGCACTAAATTCTCCCTCACTTCCATTGTTTTGACCATTGTCTCTAGATTTTATCTACTAAAGATGTCTGAAATCCAATTATTTCTTTCTATCTGTACAGTTGGTCCTAAAATCCAGGATGTATTCATGTCTTGCCTGGGCTCATTAAATAACCTCCTAACTACACATCTGCTTCTGCTGACACAGTCATCCAATCCATTTTCCACACTGACACCAGGCTCATTTTTATAAAATGTACACCATTTCACTACTACCCCATATACGCACACACACTGCCCACTTAAAATTAAAAATAACTTCTCATTGCACATAGAATAACAACTAAAATTCTTAAGCCTAAATATCCACGTCCCTATACTGAGAAATAGACACAATAATTAACGTATACAGTTGGAAAGGTTTTTTGCTTTGCATGTGTATATTGTTTACAGTAACTCTACCTGAATTTAGAGATAATCCCCAATATTTTAGTGGATGGACGTAACAGAAGTTTAGTTCTCCCTTATGATGAGTATAAAGCATGTTCCCAACTGAAAGATTATTCTCCTCCCATTGATGATTCAGAGTCCCAGACTCTTCCCAACTTGTCACTCAAGCATTTTCCATGCTTGACTTCTTTCAGTGTTTGTGTTTTCCACTGGGTCATGCTAGAATGGAAAATTCACAGAGGATTCCAAATCTGAGGTCCTTGTGAGCCAGAATGTAAGTGATGTCTACCACTTCCAATCTAAACTCAATCATAGGACTGCAGGCAACTGAAACATGTGTCTAGGATGAAAAGAAAGTGGATTTGGTGATCAGCTAACAGTTTCTACTCTGCACTTCTGATTATCATTTACCACTCTCTGTCCACTCATATCCTATGACTCTTCTGGACTGGTCATTTATCTTCTTTTGCAGCCAAAGTCAATGCCTGTTGGAACTTGTGATCTACTCTTTCTTCAATGGAACAGGGCCTGGCTGTCCTCCAGGGCTTTCTGCCCCCTCAGCAATGTGGTATCT